AATACGCCAAAGACTATTCATGTAAATGAGAATTGTCAGGATCAGACCATAAGAAATCAATTGTATATTGTTAATATGGAATTCTGAAATCAATGAGACTACTCCTGGAGTGAGGTACTGCTCAACATGAGTAGGGGCAGCAGAATCTGGCCTACAATATTTTCCCCATATATGTACTAGTGCTGGTTAGATTTTGACTATTGCAGAGGGGGGCGGCTGAAAACTTTATACCCAAAAATTCAGTTCAGAAATTCAGGAGGTACCTCATGGAATTTGTAGTTCAGGTACCTCATACTCCTATTATCTTCTGTAGGCCAGGGTCCCTGACCAGCCTACGTGTTCCATGTCTCCCCTCTTGCTGAGCCCCCGTGTGCAGCATGAGAGATGTAGTCTGGCTTGGGAAGCCACAACACGAAGGAGAGTGGGGATATGAGGTGCCTGAACTACAACTCTTTGATGTACCATAGTGGAATTACTGAACAGAAATATTTGGGGTTTTCTTGACAAAAGTTGAAAATTCCAACAGAAAGTAGCTAATTTTTTTGAAAAATTTCATATAGTTGAAAACTCAATTTTCCATCAGAAAAACAGTTTTAATGAAATTTTTTTTAATCATCCCTAGGCTAGACTTACTATGTTCATTGATTAATTTTATTTTATTGTGCTGCTACTTTGGTGTAATACTGGCAGATCCAAGTTCCTCTGTGAAAGAGCCGTAAAAGTGGCGATATGTTTGTGTTACATTTTGCGTGGCAGGATAAAGAGTTGCAGTTTACACCACATCCCACTTCCTGTACAAAAAGTGCAAGACGGATAAAAAGTTCTAAGTCATGATAGAATTTTAGCCTGAAGTAGACAAAGGGGGTAATTTACAGAAAGACAGCTAATTCACTACCCATATGGGTCTACCAGCAGTAGGAATGGTGAGGCTGTAGTGTATATGGTTTTTTGTCATTTTTATGTCAGCAAAAACATTTGAGTCCGGTCTGCACTACCAGTGGTAAATCACAAGGCCCAGATTTGCCACTGTAGCTGAAGTTCAAGTATATAGAAGCATATGAAAACTTGTGTATAAATTAATAAGCCCTCACTTTAATATGTGAGTGTGAAATGGCCTCACAGGTTGTAACCCAAATCAGAAATTAAGAGGACTTCCTTAAATTACATCTTGCTATATTTGATAAAATCAAGACTGAGTGAGTGCATCATAGAGCTGTTTCTGCGCCTATGAAGCACAAAAAAAGAGATGAATAATACAGGAAGAAATTGAGAGGATTCGGAATTATTAAAGAGGCTTTTTCTTAAAGTGTTTCAGAAATATGTCAGGTATTCTGCAAGACATACTGCTATTTATGTGGTGGTTGGGGGAGGAACTATTGGGTGGACTGTACCCACTGCTAGTATCAGGAAAGTTACCCTTACAGATTTCAGCATGGCACACCTGTGTTACAATGTCAGCTTCCAGTGTAGGGCCAGGTCTCAGAGTCTGTAAGTTGGCGTAGTTCTGCTATTGTCAAGAGAGGTCTGAGGAGCCAAACGCTTCCAGCAATAGTTGACTTTATAACTGTTCACACAGATGATTATCTAACACTAAGAAAGGAGGCAACGTGAATGATGGAAAACATAAGAAATTGAATTCACAAAAGAGAAACCCAGTGTAATTGTCTTGATTTCTTGAAAGAACCTATTGAAGTGAACTAGATGATAATGATTTCTAAATTCCAAAATCTGTAGGGAAAAATCAGCAGGAAGAGACATAGCAGATATCACACAACAGCCCCTTCTGTCTATTACAAAGCTAATAAGGCAAAACAGAAAAAAGAGAGAGAGCTGCTAATGCTGTCTTAGTACAGAAAAACACTCTGGTCACCATTATCTCCAATATTCCCCTAATATAGCTTGTGCTATGGGAGCAATGAAGACCCAGTTGAGAGCTAGAGTGTAGATGGATGATGAAATTGTAAGGGCTATTTTAAAATACAGGGTCTAATCTCCCTTCAGTGCATCTACAGAGCTCCCAAAAATCCTGAATCAAGACTGACTTTCCCTAATACATCTGCACTGGGGTATAATCAGGGGTGAAAGTAACTTAACGGACTTACCGGTAAGCAGGGCAGCCGGGGTCCTGGGCAAGGTGTGGGAGGGGGACTCTGGGCCCCTCGAAGGGCTGGGGCTGAGGCCAGGGCCAGACTTCCCCAGTCCACACTGACCATGGCTCCGGCAGCAATTTAAAAGGCCCGCCCTCCCCGTTGCTGCTACCACACCAGTGGCGGCCAGCAGCCCTTTAAATTGCCGCTGGACCCCCTGAGCTCCTGTGCCAGCGGCTGGAGCCCTGGGCCCTTTTAAAATCGTCAGGCCCCGGGGCAGCTGCCTCTTCCCATACAGTCGGCTGTGTACCGGCGGCCACCTTCTTACTGGTATGCCGCATAAGCTTACTTTCACCTCTGGGTATAATGCACATGAAACTAAGCTGGTAGCTAAGGTGCCTATATATGTAACCATCCGATTATGTTCATTGGCTATGTAGTTAAAGTGATCACATAAAATATAAAGAAAATTCTGAAAAGCTAATGTAATTTGTTTTGCAACTTTAACAAGAAAATAAACCCTTCTCTCCTTCAGCCTGTGTTTGTTTGTAATTTACATTGCAGAACTGGAACTAAAATAAATTATATTTTTAATTTAAAAATAACATCAGGGCAAAACTTACTCTTTCAAGTAGCATCACTGAATTAAGGTGATAGCTTGTGTGAACAAAGGGAGCAGGATTTAGTCTATTATAGAAACTTGTCAGATCAGAAATGTAACCTACTGAAAGGAACTATGCAAACAATGAAAAAAAAAAGTCGTTTCATACATTGCAACATTTCAGCCCAAAGAGACAGCTTAGTGTATATAAAAAGTTATTAACATTGACTCAGAAGGAACTCTAGGCATCACTAAAACTACTCATTCCCCCATCTGTTCTAAACTACAAAACACATAGCTTTTTAGAACTGGGTCAGTGCTATGTGGAAAATAGATTTCCTATTCTGTTCAGAATCTAATGGGACTGTTGTCCCTCAAAGGTCATAGGAACTAGGGTAGCCAATAAGAAAACTGACATTAAACCCAGTATTGAACATCCTTAAACTTGAGTGATGTTTCATTTAACTCAACAGGACTTGGTGTGAGAATAAGGATTTGCAGGATCAACTCCCATAATGCAGAAGAAAAAGGTATGTTAAAATAACTAGAGTGGGTGATATGTGGTAAATCTAGAGAACATCATCCCTATTGTTCACTACTTTAAGGAAAAGGTCCCCTGGACCTTACATTTCAAACAATAGCTGTGCAACTGCCCTCTGAAACTCAGGCTTCTTGAAGGTGTCAAAGACACCCAAAAACTGAGCCCCTGCCAAAATATCACTAGTCATTTTTCAGAAAGTAGGCCTTAGGCCTACACAGAGTTTTTGCACGGATCTAACTAAACTGGTAGGTTTAGTAAAGGTATTCATATTTGTAGCTATACCAATAAACATCTTTATACCAGTGTAACTGCCTATACACTAGGGAGGTGTGCTGATTTAACTAAATTTGTTTTTCTGTCAATTTAGGCAATCAATGCAAAAACTATGTAGAGATGCTCTTAAGTCACAACAATACCCAGTAGCTGTGGAAAATGCCTTAAAAACAAATTTCCTAATACGAACAAAACAAATGCAGTGTCTCTCAAGCTGATTTTAAGCTTTTGGGGCCTCACATGAGTAGCCTCATTTAAATCAAGGGGTGTTGGAGGGGCTGAATAACTGTTAGGATCAGATTTTTTTTCCCTCTAATGTTCTTGAATTGTCTACAGGGATGAAGTATAAACACAAAGCCAGCTTATCTTGGAGCCAAAAAGGAAAACACAGAGATGAATGAAAATATTTAATTATACACAATAAAACAAACTGTACCCAAGAATTTTTGAAATAAAAAATTACTAAAATATTAATTGAGAACTTTAAAGAAACTGATTGAACAGATATTTCAAGCTGTATTTTGATCTCTCTGTTTCCTCAGTCATGCTCTGTTTGGTTATTACACCTACAAATCACATGAAAAAATGCTGCTTGATCCCTTTCATTTATTTTAAAGCTATTACAAAAATGCTGAAGACTAGCACATTGCAGCTCCTCTCTCATTAGATTTATAGGAAGCACCTGTCCAAGCTCCAGCTGCATAAATATAGTTTAAAAATACCTGCAGAAATATATACACAGACCTGCCCTGTATTGAGCATTACAAGTGGAGTTGCATAATCACCTACACCAGTGGCTTTCAACTTTTTTTCATTTGTGGGACCCCTCAAAAATTTCCAATAGAGGTGCGGACCCCTTTGGAAATCTTAGGGCTTGTCTTCACTACCAGGGTAAGTTGACCTAAGTTACACTACTCCAGTTACGTGAATAACAAAGCTGGAGTCGACGTAGCTTTGGTCGAGTTACCCCAGTGTCTTCACTGAGCTGCGTTGATGGGAGACGTTCTCCGGTTGACTTCCCTTACTCTTCTCAGAGAGGTGGCATGCCGGGGTTGACTGGAGAGCGCTCTGTCATTGATTTAGCGGCTCTTTACTAGACCCGCTAAATCGACCCCTGCTGCATCGATTGCAGCAATGTTGATCCCCCCGTAGTGAAGACCAGCCCTTAGACATAGTCTGCAAGTCCGCAGACCACAGGTTGAAAACCACTGACCTACGCCCTTCAGATTATTGCTCTGAATCAGATTTATTTATTTTTGCATCTGTCAGTTAGACTGCCAGACAGCAATTAGACTTATACGAGTTTTTAAAAGTTTAGTGATGCCTTTGTCAGTGGATAAGACTGTTTAAATAGCTTAAAAAAGTGAATGAAGCTGATTAGAGAACTTGTTGCTATAAAAACAAGATAACCACAAAACCCCACACAACACAGAAATATCATTTATGGACATTATGGGCTAGATCCTCACATGTGCTTGAGTTATGCTTGACAAGCTATGGAGCTAGGGCATAGCCCCTTATTCAGGGTGCAGATGGGGATCCTAATTAGCACTGAGTGGAATGACTCTGGATGCCCAGAGCACAGCATATTTTGGCCACACCTTCTCCTTCCCCCTATGATGCCAGGAGCCAGAAGTAGGTGGTACAGAGGTTTGTGTCACCCAGGATTCTCCTATGCAAGGGGACTCTCAACTGTTTTAGATTGGCCCAAAGTCACCAGAAAGGAGGTGTATGTAAGAGGATCTGACCCAATATATTTTATGTAATTCAAAATAAACACATGCAACCCAAAAAAGTATATTCCTTACAGTACCAATCCCATGCTACCATTCATAAAGCATCCAGTACATTACGGTAAAAAAAAATACCAAGAGAACAGTGCAAAATGGTTTTGCTTCTTTGTTCAATAATTCATGTCACACCATAGCTGCACTATTTAAGAACTCCAGGGAACATTCTAATATTTTTAAATAGACCTAACAATGACATAGTCATTACCATTTTTAAGACTAAATTTGCTTTCTAAGCAAATGGAGTGAACATATAAATGTGAAAAAAAAAAAATCAGTGCATAAGCTAAGTTTAGCAATAAAAATGTATATATAAAAAATGTTGAGATAGCGCTATCAAGTAAGAAGAAAATATTAAGAGGACTAAATGGGCCACTGCTGTACACCAGCAGGACAATTCCTGGATTGTCTGGTTTGTTATTTAGCAAATTTAAATTAATTTTGTAAGAAGCAACAACTGTTTTCGTTTCCAACTACTTCTTTCCCTTAAATTATATAAATGTAGCCCCTATGAAGATACTTGTTTCCATCGGTGAGCTTCTGCTGAGTGCAGGAGATCTTTAGCACTTAGCAGCCCCCTTCACTACCCCTTTCCAACACTGTAAAAAAATTATATGGGGTTATTTTGATGTACAAATTCCCAAACCCTATTCCCTAATGTCACCTTTAATGTGGCATCAACCTTTGATCAGCCACCCTAATTGTAGTCTGAAACGTGCATAATAAGTTGCACTGACAAACATTCTGAGAGGAAAAGTTAGGCTCCCACAGCAGTAACTATGAATATGAATATTCAATTACATATAAATTGTCTGTTGTCTGTCTCTGGCCATTAGAGAAATTTTGGATACTAGTTTTCAGACTGACAGCAAAACAGAGACTCAGTGGTTGAAGTTCTGCAATAGAGCCTCTAAAGTGACTCCAAAGGCGCTCAAAAGCTCTTCTTCACCTTGGGTCCCATCTGTATAGTACTGGCTATTGGAAGCACTATTTTGATTATTCTGAATAAGATTGCTGGGTGATTCGTTCATAACTTGAGGGTCTAGGAAACTGTAAGCAGCTGAATGAAATGCGTTGGACTGTGAACTAAAGGATGAGCTACAAGAAGCTGCTAGAGATGTACTGGTAGAAGGCACCTGATGGATTTGCCTCCTGTGATCACTTGGATTTAAAACTTGATTAAACGATGTCTTTTCTACGTTCATGCTCATGCATCCCATTTCATCAGTCTCCATGTTAACAATGCTGGGTGCTGTGACGTTTATGGTGTGAGCCTGATGCATGATGCTGCTATCAGAGACATTCTGCATGTCTTGCTGTGACATTGCTGATCCTATACCATTTGTGCTGGTGAAATCTCTATAGTAGTTTATATCCTTTTGATCAGTCCAGTTCAGAACATTTTCATGAAGAGCTGAGAGAGAACTGCTACTCTGTGGGTTAGGGTGAAGTGCATCCATCACAAAACTGTTCTGTGGGTGTGTATTAACTGTGTTGCCTGATGAAGAAGAGGAGCATGGGGAATGCCAACATGAAGAAAGAGCTTCATCATGCTTAACCGGTCCCACGGCCTGCACGTTTGTAGGCTGATGTGGGATTGGATTTGAATTGCATGTGGGTGGGGAATAGTAAGATGGAATTTGACTGGTGCTTACAGGAGTTCTCTGCAGCGGCATAATCGCAGTTTGAGAAAACATATTTGGTTCTGTGAAAAAGAAACACAGTTGTTAATTAATGCATGGAAATTATAAGAATGAAAAACATGGCAGGCAGTTCAAATAGTCAAACCTGCCAAAGTCGTACATCAAAAGCACTAAGCACAGGCTTAACTTTAAGCACATGTGCAATCCTATTGACATCAGTGAGATGATTCATGGGCTTGCAGTTAAGCACCTACTTAAGTGCTTTGCTGGATCAGGCCACAGTGCTTAGCACCTTGCAGGACAAACCCTAAATGTCCAACCTGCAGTTACACTGGCTGTACACATCACCCTTCTCTTTACTTGAAATGTGGAAGCTAGAGAAGCTTACAATAAAAATATGGATGGCTTTGAGGCTGTATAGTAAGTACTCTCAATATCTTAGGGCATGTCTGTTCTGCATCTGGGAGCAAGCCTCCAGCCCCAATCCACAGACTTGTACTAGCGAATATTTAAGCAAACGATGTGGAAAGCCCGGAAATTTAAAGTTAAACTTCACTGAAAAGAACCAAACATCTGAAAGCTCAGAGATAACAGATACGATTTTCAAAAGGGCCTAAATAAGTTGGGAACCTAAGTCCCAATGACTTTGAGACTTAGGCTCCCAAGGCCGAAATCCTCAAAGGTATTAAGGTGCCTAACACTTTGACAATGGGACTCCTAAGACATTTAGGCCCTTTGGAAAACTTTACTCAATGTTTAGTATTTGTCCAAACAACTTTACCTCTGACCCAATCTCCTGCTGCTCTCCCTGGCACCAGCCCCCTACCCCTCTCTCTCATTGAAAAGGAGCAGTACATGCTCGCTCGCTCCCTACTGGCTGTCAGGGCTCCTGCCCCACGTCAGTGCTGGACTTTGGGGATGGGGCCTATTGCAGACCTCTGGTGTTTGTTTCCCCTCTTACCCCTGCTATTGAAGAGCTTCTCGTTCCTGCAGTGAGCTGCCCCCTTATTGCTGCTGCAGTCATGAGGGAGCATTAGGGGCCGGCCTCGCATACTATCAGCAGGGGGCAGACTCCAGAGACTCCTCATTGCCAGGGGACAGTGCTCTTGCTGAGAGGGAAAAAGACCCCTCAAATCTTCCCCAACCATTTTTTAGACAGATTCACGTTGGGTATTTTCTTCCACCTGAGGGGCAGGCCTATAGCAGCACTTTCAGGAGGAGAAAGTGCAGCATACACCTTATGAGGGTGACAGTTACAATTTACTGCGGCCCTTCGGGAGACCATGAATGAACTGAGGGAGACGGGGGCAGGTGCAAATAATAGGTGTCTTCAGGTAATACTACTGCCTTGAAGACAGGTTTCAGAGTAGCAGCCGTGTTAGTCTGTATCCGCAAAAAGAACAGGAGTACTTGTGGCACCTTAGAGACTAACAAATTTATTAGAGCATAAGCATCTAAGCATCCGAAGAAGTGGGTTGTAGCCCACGAAAGCTTATGCTCTAATAAATTTGTTAGTCTCTAAGGTGCCATAAGTACTCCTGTTCTTTTTACTGCCTTGAAGTTTAAGTGCTAGAGTCCCGGTGGATAGAGGGAGGGCCAGGTGTGTTCTCAGTTGTGTGCCTGCATTTACATGTCAAGTTATTGTAACTCAGCATGCGTGAACCAGAAAGTGAAAGGGCTTTTTGATTTCTCTGTATATGCATGTGTGGCAATTGTACACACAAACGTCACCTCACCAGTGCCTCTGGCCACTGAAAACTAGCCCCCAGTGTTTGGAAAAGCTAAGGGCCCTCATTATACTGTCTGCTATGGAAAATGGACACTGCAAATCAGAGAGGAGTCATTTGTTTCAAACTGATGCTGGATTGACATGTGCAGACAGATCTACCTTTCTTAATTATCCTCCCTTCGCCAGGGATAGACCGGAATGGAGCTGCTTTGGGCCTCTCGGACACATTGGGACCTGCGATGGAAAAGGACATTAATCCTGTTATTTAAGAATAGGATTGCTCTTTTTTAAAAAAAATAAAAATCTTTGCCCAAATTTTAAAAAAAGAAAAAAAAAAAAAAAAAAAGAACATGGAGGCAAACTACCAAATGTTTTCCTTACCATATTCCTGCATGAGCTTTTGCAAAGCCAATGTTGATATTTGCCTTTGCCTTTTCGCTTTATTACCATAAGGATCTACATGGGGAAGGAGAAAAGAGTATTGGTAATTAGGATGCTCTCCACTGTGTTTTGTAAAGAACGTTTCCAGAACTGATGTATGCCTTCTGTTTATAATGGAAAGGGTCTTCCCAAATGTAGTTCTCATAGACATGTGATCTAAACAGCTGATACAAAAAAAAAAAAAAATCACAACCCACCACCCTTAATATTATTCTAAAGAAGGACAATGCTGGAATGCCATTAGCAAAAACACACTTTTACTGATTCACGGTTGCTCTCTCTCATGTAAAAATACAGCGCTGACATACTCTTAAGAATTCTACTAGTAGGAACTGTACCTTTTTCATCTGGTAGATATCTAAAATCCATCGACTCACTGACTTCCTGGTCAGAGGGTCTTCGCAGCTGCATCTTTACCATAACTGGTTCAGTGATGTCTTTGTAAAATGGTGGGGTTTTGAATACAATAGCGACTTGGCGATGTACATCAGCTTGTGAGAAACTACCTTTGGCTTCCCATTCATTCAAGACAAATCTGACTTCTATATCATCTAGTCCATCAGAAACAGAAGGTACCAGTTAGTACAGAGAAAAAAACTAAAACCTATGGCCAACATTTTCAAACTTGGAGGCCTAAAATTAGGCATTTAAGTCCTTATGTAGCCTCCTAAGCAGCCTGATTTTCAGAGGTGCGGATGACCTATTGAGTTCAATAGGAGTTGAGGGTGCTCAGCAACTCTGAAATCAGGCCACTTATTTAGGAGCTTAGGTGAAGGTTGAGGGGCCTAACTTTAGGCCTCCACGTTCGAAAATGTTGGCCTCCGCAGCTGAATACATTTGAAATGTATTCTGGAAAGAGGGAGGGAAACTAATCACAGTTACCTTTTTGAACCTTGTCACACAGTAGAAATATTTCATCTCCTCCTTTTACACTTCCACAGTTCTTGTTCACACGACAGATTCTCAACTCTGCTGTGTTAGGAGCTCCTAGAGATAAACAGGAAATAGCGATAGGACATAAGGACACAAGAATGGCCACACTGGGTCAGACCAATGGTCCATCTAGCCCAGCATCTGGTCTTCCAACAGTGGCCAATGCCAATTATGTCAGAGAGAATGAACAAGGCAGGCAATTTATTGAGTGATCCATCCCACGTTGTCCAGTTCCAGCTTTTGGCAGTTGAGGTTTAGGAACACCCAGAGCTTGGGGTTGACCATCTTGGCTAATAAATAGAGAGGGCTTTATGGAAGTGCCCTGGGATGACTGATGGGCAGGTATAACAGCAGTGTTATCAACATGAAGGGATGTGAATGGCAGGGGTGAGTTTGAATGCATGTCTGTACTGGGCCTGGTATTAAAGTCTGGAGGGGGTGCTCCATCTAGCCCTCTCCACTACGTAAGGCTTTGTAAAGCATTAGTGGTTGCCATAGAATGAAAGTGCAGAGGAGAAATTCTGGTACATATAAACTGAAATGAAGGTCTCCATCCTGCTTGGCCTAACAAGGCAATAACTGGGGCAGGGACAGTGCGCACCTGGCATTCAAAATGCCCTCCACATGAAGGTAATTTGGAAGCATGTTCCTAGACCAAGATGAAATCAGTAAGCCGGTGATGAAGGCAAGAAAGATGAAGGCTCTGGTCATGATGCCTTTTCCTGTCTTGGGCACCAAACACCAATGCTGCTACTCTTAACCACTTATCTTCCATATTTATTCCAAAGCCAGCTCACATTACTGTTGCAAATATTTCACCACTTAGCCAGTTGTTGTTACTCAACATTACAGCAACTCTGACCCATAGAACTCGCACGCAAGGGTTTAGTCAATGACCCTTACACATCACTCTGGAGTTGCTGGAAAGGGTTGGGTCAGCAATTCATTAAAGTGATATCCTCCCCATCTCAGCACAGCAGATTATAATTTTTACTTATTGACATATTTGGTCGAAAAAAGGGCTAAGTTTGGCCTAAAAGAGATGGGCAAATGAGGATGGGGCAAGAATCAATGAGTCTTCCTATACACTCACATAGCATCTACTCAATATGGTCCCAGTCAGGATTGGGATTGCTGGGCACTATCACTATATAAATATTTAATAAAAATAATAATAAATAGCTAACAGGGTTTTAACATTTGGAGGCAATGGCCAAGATTTTCAAAAACAGGATACTAAAGTTAAAACTCCAAAATTTGGATTTAGGCATCTAAACATGTGGCCAGATTTCAAAAAGTACCCAACAGCCCCAAATAGGGTCTACACCAATTTCTGGGTGTTCAGGACTTCTGAAATCTGGCCACCAAGGCCCCAGTCCAGCAAAATACTTTTAAGCATGTGCTTAACTAAGCATGCGAGCAATCCCAATAAATCAACATATGTACATATGCTTAAATTTATGCATGGGCTAGGTGCTTTGCTGGATCAGGGCCTCATTTAGGTGCTGAAGTATAGAAAATTCTCAAAATCTTGGTAATATTGCATATTATTATCTGTAATTCTATACAAGGGGCCAGACTGGGCTCAAAGACAACCACCACACTGCTTCTACTGACTTCAGCATTTAGCTAAAGATGTGCAGACACAGAAGGCCTCTGGCATTCTTTCAGTGCTCACAGAGGTACTGGATCAAGAACTGCCCTATGCAAGATTACATCTGGTAGTCTCATTGTTTGTCATTACAAAATAAATCAATACAATTAGGATAGCATAACTGCTTAGCCCTGAACAGCACGGTCATGCTGGAGACCTGCAAAGCTTTGGAGTCTTCAGTGCCCAAAGTAATTATTTAATCTACCACAAGTCAAAGTTAATATATTAAACAGTAGCTTTTCATGAACAAATGTGGGATAAAGATTAGGATACTGTTTCAAATTGATATGCTTCATAAATAATATAATTCATATATATCCAAGAAGTATGCTGGGCAAAAGGAGGTCCAATAAATTTATAGATTACATCCCAAAAACCTAAATTAAAAGAACATTAGGGTTGCAAAGTCAAGCAGTTGAAAGTTAGGAAATCTCCTAGTTAAGGCTGCATGTGCAACTATAATTCAGTCCCTTTTTGCATATTCATTATGATACAATCTTTACATACGTGATCACATGCTGGTTTTCTCCGACTCATTCAGTGCACAGGACAGACTGTGCTCACTGAATGAGCAACTCTTCAAAATTTTGTTTCATCCTCCTCATTCAATGTGTGATCACATGCCTCACTGCACACTATTCAAAACCTCTGCATAATAGTACAGAATTATTAATTTCCTCATGATGCTCTCAGCGTAATATCTTAGTGCTTTACTAACATTAATGCAATTGTCTTCACGACAGGTGGGTGAGGCATAATTATTAGCCCCATATTACAGATGCCCAGTAATTCCAGGCCCAATTTGAGAGGCCTAGTGCCTGATTTTTCAGAGAATTTGGTATTATGTAGCATTTTATATGTACGTAGCACAGCTCCCATTGACCTTAGTTGCAGCTGAGAGTGATCAGCACTTCTGCAAATCAGACCCCAGGTGTCTCAAGTTGGGTATTCAGAAAATGAGGAACACACAGTGACCACCATGTGAAAATTCTGGTTTACATAACTTGCACTGCATCACACAGGAACTCTACAGCTGTCCCTGCAGTTCCCAGTCTCATTCACTTCACACTTTCCCCAAACAAGGCAGGTATCCTACAAAGGGCCTCCTTCACTACACAAGCCTGATTCATTCACTGAGCCAAGACACGTTGCTTTTAGCTCTATCACTCAATGAATCAGGGGTCCTGTGGAAAAACTAGTATGTGATCAAGTAATTAAGGACTGTATCATAATGCATACACACAAGGGGGATGAATTCAGGTTGCATGGGTAACCTTAATTTTGGCATTGCCTAACTTTTGAGTGCATGACTTTGCAACCTTGATGTCCTTTTAACATAGTTTTCTGGGATGTAATTTCCTGAGTTTTTTTAAAATGCAAATCGAAAAAACAGAAATTCCACCATGTGGAACCATACTGACCACCAACACTGGACATCAGTGTTCAGATCTACAGTACAGACCACTGCCACTTGAGCGAAGAGTAACTGTTGTTTTCTATTTGTTCCAGTCACTAGAGGGAGACGAGACTCACTTTGCCAGTCTGTTTCACAACTATTTGATGACAGCAAAGGAATGTTAAGACTCAGGAATCCTGGGTTCAGTTCCAGGCTCGGCAGAGGAGTATTCTCCAGTGGTTACAGACATTCTATCCCTATTTTCGCTCTCCTGCCCCTGCCCTTGCCCCCTCCTTGGCTCTCAATGAAATGGCTGTAAGAATGTTTTTTTTAAACATACACCAAAAAAACATATTTCTCCCTGATCTCATTCTCAGAAATGGCTGAACCGTTTTAGCAGAAACTTCCCAAAAATGTCAGCCTGAGGTAGACACCCAACACGGGAAATTTCAGCCTAAACAATTAAAGTTTGGCAAAGTTACAAGCAACTGAAAGCAGGAGCCATCTTAGCTATAGACCACGTCACCTGCACTATCTATCTATTTTATAAACTGACACTGTCTTCTGCTCCATCCATACCCATTTAATTGTTTCCACATTAAATTCATACATTTCAAAAATGAGTAAGTTGATGGAGACTAGAAATGACAAAAAGTGAAGACAGATTATTACATTGAATGCATGTGGGCAGAACAAAATATATAACAATGCAGAAAGAGCTATAAATATTTTTATTGCTACTTGTTTGAGCAGAACTGCAAAAGCTCTGGGTGAGTAATGTAGATATCCTAAAGTCACTAGCAATACAAACTGTATTCAGATCTTCTCTGTCTATAAAACATGAGAATATACTGAGAGTCACTGTTCAGTAGGAGGAAAATTTGTGTTACCTGAACAAAGTGGCTGTTTATTGCATGTATTCAACTGCTTAATTTTGGTCACTTTATAATATTCTATGAGAGTGCGTACACATTACACATATTTTTAACCAAGGTCAAAACCTGACCTTTCTTAATTCTATATGTCAGAACTAGTTTGAAAAGGTCAACAAATTCACTTTTTTTGAGGAACGCAGATCTGAAGCTACCATTCCCAAAACGAGATGTCACAGCAATTCTACTGACTTGTGGTTGACGTTATGCATCATGTTTTATTTACACTACCACTAAGCTACAATGGAGGACTCCAAACACCCATAGTACAAAACAAAATCACCCACACACACCGTGCTAAAACGAAAGCTTAGCAGGGACTGACGTCAACTGAAAGGCACTTATAGTTATGATCTAGCATATTTCTAAATGGTAGCTGAGACACATTGCTTTTAGCTGTTAATTTTATCTCAACCTCACCTATTATGGCAAAGCACCAGCTCTGCTATAAAGTCCCTGAATAAAACATTGTATAGCATTTCATTTGGCAGAAGTAAGAGATTTATAACATGTTTTAAAAGTAGGTAAAAATAACAAAAATCCTGGTTAGAACTGAATACTTCCATAATGGTTATGTCAATTCATAGCACAACTCTCCTCATCAACTGCATAAATGCACTTTTCTTTAAATCAGTGACTTCTGCTAAAATAATCGGTCTCATGACCTACAAAACTTGGCACAGCAATGTCTTATCAGAAAGATGACAAAAATAATTGCCAAATTCTTCAACAATTATTAAAGGCTATTCTGCAAAGGCAGAATATAAATATTTACATCTCATATTTCACACTCCTTTTTCAGACGATCCAGTTGCAGTGTAGTGAAGTCATTCAAAAATCCCCTGAAAAAGTTAATCCTTTGCAAAACAGATAATTATTTGTGGTAAAATTCCATCCTGGACAGTGAGTCAGCACAAGACCTATGCACCACTTAAGGGGTCAGACCCTGAGCTGCTCTAAACTGGCATCACTCCATTGAAGGCAGTGAAGCTACACTAACTTATACCTGCTCAGGTTCTGGCCCAGGCCCTCAAAATAAGGGTTGATGGGACATAAGTGGTTTAGAGCTTTGTGCTAACTCTCTACATGGGTGAATTTCACACACTGGGCCTGATCCGAAGCCTCAAACAAGTCAACAGAAAGATTCCCCAGTTATTTCAATATGCTTTGGATCAGGTCCTTGGAGCACAGATCGAGTTTTATGGCAGCTAAGTCCAAGTTGGGATCTTTCTCAGCAATCTTTATCACTACAAAATATTGTAAACGCCTTGCCTATTGGAAACTGGGTTTCCTGTGGCTACTGCTGCAGTACATAACCAAGGGCCATGAAAGGATTTAACGAGTAGTATGACTGAGATAGATACTGCACGTCCTACTACCCAATGTCAACACACCACTCCCACCTTTGTTAGACCCATTTGATATCCAACAGGCATATACACAATCTACAGTCCATATTCTGGCCTTGGCTCTAAGCAGTAGGATCCAAAGCCAGTGCTAGGATCCTTGGCCCTGTGTTTGCATTGGATAGCGTAAGAGAGCTGAGAGGCAAACGGCTGGGAAGGTGGCCTGACCTCTGTCACTTCAAATACAAGGGAAAATTGATCACTTAAAAGTGCACCTGTCCAGGTGGGATACTCACTGTTATCATAAATAGGGTTGGAGATGACGGGAGGAAGTGGTATCGTGCAATTGCCATGTTCATCAGGGAGGAACACCTGAAAGCAGAGTCTCACGACATTGAGGTCATACTCATCAACATTGAGCAGCTGTTCTTCGGGCACTGGAAGATGAAGAGAGATGGCAGAGTAAGTTATCACACAGAAGCAGCAATCACACTTAAAGAAATTGGGGTGAAGCTCTGCTGGTAGAAGCAACAATGCCACCAATGCATGGAGGATTCACTTGTGACACTCACTAACTCCCGCAGGAGCTGTATGTATCAATCCCTTGCATGTGGAACAGTAGCCTTTATCCCTTACTCCTTCAGTTACAAAGCCCAAGGCTGCAGCAATGAAAGTGTGTTATTCACCCAAGCTGCCTCTTGTATTAAATGTGATGGGCCAAACTGTGGCTGCCCCTCGGCAGCTGCCCTTGAGCAGAGCAAGCAAGCACTAGGGACGGCGCCTGTCTCCCCCCACCACAGTGCACTCTGAACAGGAGGCAGCCAATGTATAGACCCAGTTGTTTAGCCAGCAAATGCTCAAGGCAATGCAACACATACCAAAATAATGGTTCCCAACCTTTTGGGGGCTCCCCTGTTTGTGAGGGATCTGCACCTGGGTCTGCAGTGGGGACAAGTGCCATTGTCTCACCTGCAGTTGTTCATTCCCTCCCCGCGACCTCTTCCAGTTCTCCCCTTCAAAGTCTTTATTCCTTCTCTCCAAGCTTTTCCTCAAGTCCTTCTCTGCTTTAGGGTTTCCCCATCTTGTTTCTCCCTCTCTCTTTTCCAGATCCCTCCCTATTCTCTCTCTCCCATTGCCTCCATTTTCTCTCTCCCACCCACCCTCTCCTCCCCCACCACCCCTCATGTGTAGTTAAGATGAGAACATTGACAATTTTGCCTTAGCACAATTCTTCTAATGCGTAGGAGGCCTTGGGTCCCAACGGCCTGCCAATAGACAATGCTGGGGGATTCTGCACAATGTTAGGTTATTTTCTTCTTAGGATGTGAGAAGAAAATAAACATCCGGGGGGGGGGGGGGGAAGGAATCACCAAAACAGCAGTCTCTGTGCCTACAATGCCTCAGGGCACCACCTCTGCTCTTGCCCCATTCCTGGTGTGCCTCTAGCTACAAAAACCAAGATTTGGCTCTAAAAATGCCTGTTAATACCTCTTGTTATTAAAAAAACAAAACAAAACCCCCTTGCCCCCACTGACAGGTACAATTATTGGGAACCATATTTTAACTGAAAAAAGAAGATGCATTTCTGCTGATTTGAGTCTGTTCTGTATGGTTGGGAATAGCAACTACTGGTATCACATAGTGGTACATTTAGATGACACAAGAAGTAAATCCCTGTAGGGAATTTTGTTCATATACTTTTCCCCAGTGTAAACTGAGACATCATATAACCCATGCCTAGCATTTTAGTTTTGTCCAGCCTTCTACGTCATTTTAATTTTCAAAATCTCACACTGGGACATATCCTACTTCAGATATTTATGACCAAATACTTCATCTATTGTTAGTTTACTGTAAAAAATTGATGCTAGAAAAAACAGTTATCTGAATTTGACAATATTCTCTTTTAAAGTCTAGAATTAAATTATCTACTGGGTTTTTTTAAATGACACCACAGAAAAGAAAGATAATCTGATTTCACTTATTAGAATGGGAGGTCCCGTCAAAGAGCTATTTAAAGAAGCTTTTCTCTCTTCCAAACCTATTGTTAGCCTGAGAACAGTTTTATGGTCTCATTTAGCCATTCAAAGAATCACAGACCAAATGCCTGCAGTATCAGCAGACCATAATAATTCTTCCAGTTTACCCATCCTCCAAAAACCTCCTACAAATTTCATTACCACCTTAGTACTGGAGATGTCAAGAGTGAAGCTTGAAACATGCTTGGACCAAAAAAAAAACAAAACAAAAAAAAAAACAAAAAACCCCCAGTGACCACACTGTACTGATAAACGTCAAACACTTGCATCACCATTTTGGTGTCCGCCCCCACAAAGAGTAGGAGGTGACACCACCCACTCTGGTGAGATTTTTTTTCATTTTGGTATTATTGAAATAGTACATGCAGCAAATTCAAAGGGGGTTCCTCTGCATTTTTCATTTGCAATTGTTATTTGAATATCTCAGTCCCTCCAGATCTCAGTTTTAAAAATAAATTTGATCTTTCATTTTAAACATGGGATATTTATCTATAAATGCACCGGGAGTTGAAAGTTAAAAATTAGCCCCTTTACAGCTTTAAAAATTTTGGATCCAAACCTGGTGACCTTACCTGGGCAGATCCTCTCCTGACAGAGTTTTGTCAGTGTAAAGAGTGCAGGATTAGGCCCAGCTAATTTATCAGACAGTCTAAGGTAAAGTTTCAAAAGCATAATATATATTAGTAGCAGACTTTTTAATTTAACAAAACAGGGTCTTTGTGAAGCAGGTTTTGTCACTGGCACCATTTCACTCTGTAATCTGCAATTTCTGTGCTCAGACTATCTCTGGCTAGGTCTACACTACCCGCCTGAATCGGCGGGTAGAAATCGATCTCTCGGGGATCGAATTATCGCGTCTCGTCGGGACACAACAATCGATCCCCGAATCGACGCGCTTACTCCACCAGCGGAGGTAGGAGTAAGCGCCGTCGACGGGGAGCCGCGGAGGTCGATTTTGCCGCCCTCCTCACAGCGGGATAAGTCGGCTCCGATACGTCGAATTCAGCTACGCTATTCGCGTAGCTGAATTTGCGTATCTTAAATCGACCCCCCCCTGTAGTGAAGACCTGCCCTCAGATAACCTGCACTTGAACACACAGTGTTAGTACTTCCCACCCAACTCCCCTTACCTAGATCTAGGGGCTGGATGCTGGGCCAGGAACAGATGGGAGGCAGTTTACATCTCCCTATTCAGAGGCTGCAGGGATCGGTGCTGCCCCAGTCGAGGCAAGGATCTGGTATGGATGCCTGACCTGCTAGTAGCAGTACTGCAACCTACCGTGTAGAAGGTATACATGACAAGGGCAGTCCTCAGGGCAGAGCTCAATTGCTAACTGCTTCAACAGCTCAAGGGGCTTTGCACAAGCACAATCTCTGCAATGCATGTCCACCGCAGCCATGTCACTTCCTAATCATCCTCCTCCAACGCCACACTCAACTTGCCATCACTCTGCCCCAGAATGCACCTGCAGCTGGGGCTGCTGTAGAGGTGACACAGCTGGCAGAGCTGGGCCTGGGCATAGGGGACCCCTGCAATACAATTATGTCTAGTTGGCTAACACGGACTCAATGCTGATTTGGTCTCTCTCCAAGGTCAAACCAACAGGAGTAGGCAAGAGGACTCAGGAGGCTGAGGGAACTGGGATTGTTTAATCTGCAGAAGAGAAGAATGAGGGGGGATTTGATAGCTGCTTTCAACTACCTGAAAGGGGGTTCCAAAGAGGATGGATCTAGACTGTGCTCAGTGGTACCAGATGACAGAACAAGGAGTAATGGTCTCAAGTTGCAGTGGGAGAGGTTTAGGTTGGATATTAGGAAAAACTTTTTCACTAGGAGGTGGTGAAGCACTGGAATGGGTTATCTAGGGAGGTGGTGGAATCTCCTTCCTTAGAGGTCTTTAAGGTAGGCTTGACAAAGCCCTGGTTGGGATGATTTAGTTGGGAATTGGTCCTGCTTTGAGCAGGGGGTTGGATTAGATGACCTCCTGAGGTCCCTTCCAACCCTGATATTCTATGATTCTATGACTTGGAGGTGCACCTTGTAGAGTTTCTGCCAAATGCTACCTTCATGGGAAGATATTTGTGGGCTCTGGAGGGGGCAGAAAGCATAGCCCCCCTACCCTACAGAGCTCAGATCTACAGGGAAAGGCAATGCCAAACTTGTGCACTCCAGAGAATCTGCAGTGGGGCAGATCCTCCTTGCAACAATGCTCGTGGTCTCTCCTCTAGACTGGTATGGCTCTTGGAGAGCAGTGTGTGGTGCCTATAGGCTTATCCAGACTTTTTTACACTGATTTGCTCTCCTCTGCAACAAGCTCTGGTAGAAATACAATGGCAACAAAGATATTTGGGAATGACTATTGGCTTGTTTCTGCTGCTAGAATTAGGCCTGAAGACAGTTTCCTGCTAGGATGGTTCAGTATGTTGGGATTTCTGAGCCCAAACCCCTTTCTCTAATTGGACGGGTGGCTGCTCAACCTAGCTCAGGCCTAACAGATGAAGCCCACTCATCCTTTTGACGTTACCTGGCTGATATAAATGTTTAATTTTTTCCCTCTTGACTGAGTCTTAGGGAATGGCATATTAGCTGTCCCAATGTCTCTGGTATCTCATCCGCTCCCCAACAATTTAAGCAATGACATCTCAGTAGCATTCAGGTTCAGGGACTGAAGTTGGCGTTTCAGCACTAGCCTTTGGTGATAACCCAGACCCTGATGATGAGGGTTTCCCAGGCTCATTCCAGAGCTCCTGGATCATAAATTACTAAACTAAAGGTGGGATCAAACTTTATCCAGATTACAAACCTTTCTCGGTGGATTTGACAGTGTTGGGATCTGCTGTGGTTTAGCTCATTGCAGATATATGGAGCCAGACATGACAATCTGGATCTGGTTTCTGATACCGTACCATCTCAAAGCTGGGATCCACAGCTGTGGATCAGCAGCCTCTACTACAAACTAAGGCCCCGATCATGCATTGTGGTTTGCACAGGTGCAGCAGTCTGCCCATGCACAAGAAGTTGCAAGATTAGCGCCTAAAGCAACTCCAGAGTTCCAAAAATGTATTAGATTATGTGGGAATGTATATGCGAATAGTAGGGTTCAAATAATGTATTTTCCCCAAGATATAAATGAGCTTTCAAACTGTCACTGCTTCCTAATCAGTCCGCTTGACCAAGTTGTTCATTATCTTGAAATACAGAAAGGGTACAATGGGCTAATAATTCCAAAATATGAAATCCATTTGAAGAACAGTTTTTACTGGAGACATCAGTGTTGTGTTTCCCATATTCTTAAAAGTAGTTTAACATTTAAAAAAAAAAAATTGGCCATTTGAAAGAGGAAGTGTTCAGTTAAGACTGATTCCTCTTGTCTATTTTTAAATTTCACTTCTTACTAG